AACCGACTTGGAAAAAACAAACGTATGTATTAGCTACGCTCACCTTCCTTTCAGAGTTAAATGTTTGTTCTGGCAGATCGGTTACTGTTGTGGGAAACAAATGCTCCTTGTGAATGTGACCCCCTGTTTGCACACCACGGCTTGTGCAACACGCTGATCTGTTCTGGCGCAGTCTCTTTTTGTGCCTTTCACGTTCAGGGAAACTTCAGTTCCTGCTTTCATCTTGTAGCTAAGAAGAGAAAATCTGTAATGAGAATTAGGGCTCAGACCCTACTGCTGATGCCCAAGAGTGGATTTTTACCTTGCTCTGAAAGGAGGGGAGAGGCTGTGTGGCTGTAAGCAATAAACCAGAGCTTGAGTGAAGCATTAAGTAGTAAATTGGTGCCACATTTAAGATTATTCTTCCAATCATACCACGTCCATTATGAATCTCCATTTGGTGGTCTGTTGTACAGGGTCAGGGGGTTTGCTGTGAGCAGGGGTTTGTGAAGAGCTCTTGCAGGCTCCGCAGAGTCTCAGGGTCTGGTCACTTGGGAAGAGGAAGCAGGTGCTGGGCGAAGAAAAGTGAAGGCTGCTTTTAGAGCAAGACTCTCCTCTCCTTGTCACATCTAACGCTGGTAAATGGCTCTGGCTGCTCGTGGGTTTTGTGGGGTTTTTGGTGCTTGTCTGGAGGCAGGGGTGCCTGGCTCCTCCGGGAGGAGCGGCTGGTGGGGCAGGCCTGCGGCTGGCGCGCTGCCTGGAGCGGGGCAGTGGAGCGTGGCGTGCCCTGCTTGCCATCACACCGAGCTGTGGGGCCAGGGGAGAGCACTGGGATTTGGTATGTGAGCGCATGGGGGTTGGGGATGCTGGAAACTCTGCATTTAGTGACCAGGAATTGTGAGCCAAGGCCCTGGAGGTTTAGCGGTTTTTACCCGGGGGGCAGCCGTCTGGGAAAGACGGAGATCACTGCAGGGTCTGCCTTTATTCCTGACCCCGGTTAACGCCTGACCTGCTGGTACAGTGCTAGAGGTGAAATAATGCTGGGTACAGTGTTGCCTGCCTTAGAGCAGAAAAGTTCAGAATCGTTGTGAGACAGACGCTGGTTCTGCCCGGGAGACCTGTGAATGCTCAGTTGGAAGATGAGAAGATGATGGGGAAAGCGGCCGTTGCAAAGGAGGGATTAGCACGGGGGCTCACCGTGCAGGACGAGTCACGCTTGCTCGGGGGTTCAGATCAGAGTTAAGCAGCAGTGTGTTTGACACAGTGTGGTGTGAAGCACGTGGACGTTGAAGCTGCAGGTGTTCCGAGTACGCGCATGACGGTCAGCTCTAAACTTCCTGCTTTGGTCAAAAATGTACCCGCTGCCAGCGCGGTGGCCTCACCTGCAGCCACCAGACCGTGACCGACGTCCCCTGCATCCCCGCTGCAGTAGCTTCTGCCACCACGAATAGATCCAGCCTGGTTTAAAAATCTGTGGCGTTGGGCACGGCGTGCAGCACCGAGACGTTCGGCGCCGGGGTGCGGGCCCGGGGCAGGAGCGTGGCGCGCCCGCCCTGGGCTTTATTCAGCAGCAGCACGAGAGTCTGGGGGGGCAGAGGGGCCGTGGAGCTCGGTGCGTGCCAGCTGTGCTTGCTCACTAGTCTTCCTACAGCCAGAGCGTGCCAGTAGATCCGAGGTGCCCCGTTACTCTTTGGAGAAGCGCTGCTGGCCACCGTGCCTGCCGCCGTTTCTAAAGATGCCGCAGGACTGGGCATGGGTAGTAAAAACCTCCCCGTCGCCTTTTTGTCTTATGCTTGCAGATCCCATTTCGGACCGTGGCTGCCCCTCAGCAGGGCGTCTCTTGTTTTGAAATCCAGCGTGAGACTGGCTCATTAATCATCTCGCCGCTCAGCTCTGCAAAGCAAGGGATGGCCCTCCGTTTCTGTCTGAGAAAACAGCTTTCTGAACTGCACTGCAGTCTCCGAGAGCTACGTAGTCTTTCAGTTACAAAGCTGAAAAAGTTACTTCTTTCTTACGGATGAGTGCTCCAGCAAGCACTTTAAAAATTTTATTTCATGCCTGGTGAGGAATCTCGTTTCCACACTGCTAAGAAATGGGAGCGAGTCAGGAAAATATCTGCTTTGCTGGATATGATTGAATAACTGTCGGGTTTGTCATTTCCTAGCTTGAAATACTTAAGATTGAGAATAGAGCCTGGATTTGGTAACATCTGGTAGTAGTTGCAACTTGAGATCTTGGATGTCAAGTCGTTGCTGCTGTGTGCTGTACAGTGTAGAGGAAGGACCTTCTATAGCTAACAAACCTGCTCTGGAAGGGTTAGGTAGCCGCCCTCCTCCTCCTCCCGGGGAGCTCAAGGACAGCCGTGCAGCTGAAAGGAGCCCCGGCGATTTTTGTCCAGCAGTTTCCCCTCTGTTCTGATAGTCCACGTTCATTGCTTCTGGTTTTTCATACGTATTTTGTGTTGCCCACGTACAGCTCGGCTGTCCTTTGAAAACCAAAGCTCAAGCAAGGGGAACGGTCTCTGGAGCTGATTCACTCTTTACAGAACGGAGTTGTCTGGTTTCTTCCTAAACGATTTCTGTTCCAGTTTTTGTGATTGCAAAGTAAAACTTCTCTTCTGTTTTGCCAGTGCCCCGATTCCGCGTGCAAGCAGGACCTCCTCGCCTACCTGCAGCGCATCGCGCTGTATTGCCATCAGCTGAACATCTGCAGCAAAGTGAAGGCTGAAGTTCAGAACCTCGGAGGGGAGCTGGTTGTGTCTGGGGTATGTGTGAGCTACGACATGTCCAATTCACACCATTCTTCTTCCAGGGGTTGACAGTTACTCCAAGCTACGCTTTTATGCTAAACAATGTAGAATATAGACAAGAGATTTTGGAGCATTCGGTCGGTTTTAGTGCACGCAAGGTGTGTAAGACTGCCTGCGCTGCCTTTTTGTCCTTGGAGGAAACAGTTAGAAAGGGAGAGAAAATACAGACTTCACTTTCCCTTAGTCAACGGTGTTTGTAGACAGATTGCCTTCATGTAATCTACTGGTTTTCACTCTTTGTGAGGTTAAATTGCTTTAATCAGCACAGCTAAGCCTACCCCATGTCTCTGCACACGCTGGGGTCCTGCAGTGCCCCAGAGATGTTAATATTTCAAAATAGCTGTGCCCTGGAGACGGCGGGGGGTTTTAGTGGCTGCTCTGTTTTATGACAGCTGAAAGCTGCCGTAGGCCAGCCTGCTCCCTTATTCTAGCCATTACTTAGCAAAGAATTTTTTCACTGTAGTTCATGAAATGCTTCCTCCTAAGAGGAATCTGTGTGATGGCTCTGGGGGGAGGGGAGTGGAGCTAAATCCTTAATTTCTTCTGGCATGGTCTTCCTTGCCCTGGATGGGTGTGTTTGATCGCCGGTGCTTTTGCCCATCCATGTCATGACTGAGGTAGGAGGTTTGGAGAAGGGACCGGAATGGCTGATAGTCCCATATTGTTATCTGAATCCTTAAAAGCAAGTGGAAAAAAAAACTTACCGCCTTCTGCCATTTAGGTGTCTCAAGTGCTTAAACCGATTAGCACATCTTCTTCCCCCCGCAAACAAGCTGGAATTGCAAAATGAGCACATGAGATTATCAGATGAAGACCTCTGCCAGTCCAGGGAGCTGACCTGTCTAAAAGTAAAATTCTTCTCGGTGTTAACATCCAGCCCCATCCGCATACTGCCGAAATTCTGTGAAAGCAGAGCTATAACCAAGGCAGTAAGAGCTTGCACCCTAAGCAAGCTGACAATTCATTTAGCAAAGCACCTCCTTGCTTTCCTTGCATTTAATACGGTTCTCCCTGCTGTGAAGATTCGTGGAAACAGTCGAATGCAATTGAAGAGTTTTCCAGGGGGATGAGTTGGGGCGAGGAAAGGAGACGACCCGGGTTTGCCGGGGGGCGCAGACCCGCTCGGCCCTGGCGGCACTCGGGCGGTGCCAGCGCCACGGGAAAAGCAGCCGCTCCCCCGCTCGGCCTGGCTTGCTGCTAGACAAGCAGCGGCTCCAAGATTTTCCCCAAAACTTTCCTTAGACGTCCGCGACGCAGGAATTTAAGCGCCTGGGGGCAGCTGAGCTCCGGTGCAAGCTGAGCAGGGGAGCTGCCACCCTGCCCGGCCCGCCGGCACCCGCCCGCCGGAGGTCCCAGCTGAGGTCACCTCGGCGGCGCTCCCCCCCCTCTTCCACCCTGGGCTCTTCCACCTCTGCCGTGTGCTAAAGCTTTGGCAAATTAATTTTTGTGAACTCATTTAATGCTCTTGTACATCAGGAACCACCTGGGCAAGGGCTCCAGCCCTGGCTGGAGGTGCAGTTGCGTTCCTTCCTATCCAGTACGACTTAATATTCTAGGGTGATTTCAGTATTTATTATCAGTGATTAAGATACTACTTAAGCTTTATTAATTTAATTAGAGAATAAGCTACTGCTAAAGCTTAGTCACAAAAGCAAACAGCAGAATACAAATCTTTTCAATTGCCATTAATACGGAGCGGGCACAGATCGGGGGCAAGCCTTGCGCTTTTATTTTTGGTGGCACAAATCAGGTTTTTACCACTTAGCGTCCAAAGAAAAACGCCGCCTCGCGTTTGGGACCTCAAATTTCCAAAGAAAACCCGGACAAATCGGTTCTCGAGTGCTTTTACACGCCAGGGCTGTCGTGTTTTCTGGACTGTACTGTGCCTGTGTGGGTTTTGCGCCGTGTAACGCGCGTGTGTTACGTTCGGCAGGTGGACAGTGCCATGTCCCTTATCCAAGCAGCCAAGAACCTGATGAACGCGGTGGTGCAAACCGTGAAGGCTTCCTACGTGGCATCGACCAAGTACCAGAAGTCCCAGGGCATGGCCTCGCTCAATCTTCCCGCTGTCTCTTGGAAGATGAAGGCTCCGGAGAAGAAACCCCTGGTCAAGAGGGAGAAACAAGATGAAACCCAAACTAAAATCAAGAGAGCGTCGCAGAAGAAGCACGTTAACCCGGTGCAGGCTCTCAGTGAATTCAAGGCGATGGAGAGTATTTAAAGAGAGTCTCCGTCTTGGTCATTTTTTTTTTTTCTCTAGCCCACTACTGCTACTTCTGGAACTCTACTTTTAATATTCTAAGGATTTTTCAAAAGTTTACTATTCCTCAAAATGTATTTACTTAATATAATTTTGATAACTTTGTTTAGATTACGTGGGGAAATACTCGAAATTTATAAGTCCTATCGATACAGCTTCAGCCTGCGGAAGTGTGTTATTTTAGATTGCTTTTAGATTTCAGGGGTGTATTTCTAGCTGAAAACTGTTTTGTATAATCTTGCTTTAAATAAAATATTCTATAACCAAAGAGGATTTTACAGTAACACTAACGGTTAACACTAATAGTTGAATCATGCTACTCAGAGACTGCAGTTTTTCATTGTGATCAAGAGAGGAAAATTAGATCTTTTCACTCCCCCCCCCCCCCCAAAAAAAAAAATATTAATTAAAGTATTGTGTGTCTTAGTGTATTCCTGCTGTTGGGGTGGAGAGGGAACGAGCCCTGCACGCCCGAAGGGGTAGGAAAATGCAGCAGGCGCTCGCTGCGCGGCCCGGGGTGCGAGGGCGACTGGGAAATGCCTGGAAAAAGAAGAGGGATGCCCTGGGGAATACCTGGAAAAAGAAGAGGGATGCCCTGGGGAATACCTGGAAAAGAGGGATGCCCTGGGAAATGCCTGGAAAAAGAAGAGGGATGCCCTGGGTAGGGGTCGGATCCCGCGCCGGCGGGGGCTTGGCACGCTGGGGGAGCACCCGGGGCACATCCAGTAGAACACGGGATCAGGGAGGCGGCTGATCACTTCTGTATGACACCGGACGGGAATTTTAATGCCTGGTTACAAATTACTAATGTATTTTGCTGCGGGACACTAATAAAGTTGCTTTTACCAGCTGGCGTATTGTGGTGCTGTGAATGGAGCGGGCTCCCCGCCCGCCCCTGCTCCCCCTCCCCGGCATTCAGATGCAAATCGGCTTTGTACTTATTCCTCATAATTGCTCTGCATCCCGCCTTGGGCTTCCAAAGGCACCCAGCAAATAATGTTTGCTCAGGCTGCAATTTAGACTATACATTATTTGTGATAACTATAGCTACAAGGTATAATTTGGCTGTCTTATTTAAATTTTATGAATTTCAGTGTGTTTTACGCTTACCAATAAAGTCCAGTATTCGAGAAGAAGCTCTTGCGCAGGTCAAAGTCGTGTTTGCTGTTTCTGTAAAGCATCCATTAAAATGGAAAGCAGCCTGCTCTGTAGTTAATGTTTTAAACCGCATCTAAATTTTAGAGCCGTTCCTTGGCAATGTTATGTTATAATTTTATTTATCTTGATCAGCTTATAATTCACTATATCAAGGTTATTGCTGTCATGTTACCAAAACGCTGATCAGAATTAAGCTAAATAGTTCTTGGGATATTTTTGCCAAATTTATTATGTTTTCAAGCATTTTAGCCTCTTGAGTACAGATAATAAACAGCTGAATTATATACTGGTTTTCATATGCCTCTGACATCTAAACAGACAGCTGCCTGGAGGGTATATACATACAAGGGTTAATGAAATAGATGAGCTGTAGATCTTGGTTTATGTGTAATTATTAACTGCTTTTATACAATATGATTTTTTTTTTCCTCTCCTGCTGTTGTCCTAAAGGCTACGTGAGCTGGGCTGTTCAGTCGCTCCCCTCAGGACAGGTCACTGCCCCCGAAATGCGAGTCCAGCGCTGAGCTTGAAGAAAACCAACGCCCCGAGTAAGGTGGCCAGGCACATGGGCGTGTCCGTAGCTTTTATTAGTTTATATTGCGCATCAAGTCAGCAACAACTTAAAATATGATGGTTCCACCGGCTGAAAGTGGGGTTTGGGGGGGGGGGGGTGGGGGCAGGATCTGGGGGGCAGCTCAGCCCCTTCCCTGGGGGTTTGGGCGAGCGGCTGCTGGGGCCGGGGCTGGCGCCGTGTGAGCTCTGTCGGTCCCGGCCGGCCGGTGCTTTTTTTTTTAGAGCTGTGCGAGGAAAGTCTGAGCTTGGGGCCGGGAGGAGGGAGGGCTGGGAAGCGGCAATTCCGCAGCGAACCCAAAGCCCCCGCGTAGCCCAGCGAGCGGCCGGCTCGGTGCTTCGAGTGAAAATGTCCATAGGCAGATCCCGACGCGTGGGGTAAAAACCTCACGGGTGAAACCGGCAGCGAGGGGTCCGGACGGGAGGGAAGCTGGAACTTTATTAGAGAGCCAATTGTAAAGAATTAATTACTGCTTGATGCAATTAAGCACCGGGGAAGGGCTCACGCCGTCGGGCTGCGCCGCGGCTGCCGGAGGGGAACGCTCTACCGGGAGGGAGCGAGCGCGGCCGCGTCGGGGTGTGAGAGCTGTGTGGGTCCGCGGTGGGAAAGCTGCACCCCGGGGGGCGTGCGGTGAGAGGAGCCTCCCCCCAGCTCTGCGCCGCTCCCCCGTTACCAGGAGCAGAAATCGGGGGGCTCCGGGAGCCGGGGCCGGGCGGGACCCACTGCGGGCAGGGAAGGGCTGGGGGAGCCCCCTGCCCGCCAGCGCGCACGGAGGGGAGCCGGGCAGGGCTGCTCCCCGGTCACCCCTGGAAACGCACTCAAATAGTTGTTGAACAGGAAGAATTTGGGGTTGGTTTTTTTTTTTTTTGTGAGATGGCAGCGCCCAGTGAGGCCCAGCAGCCCTCCTGCCCGCCCCGGGAGCGGGGACCCGGCTGCGCAGGGACGCTCGGGAAGATGAACCCGCGTTATCTCCTAAAGTGTATTAGTGCGACCACGTTAAATCCCCAGGAGAGAGCCTTATTCCAAATTTCGAGTGCTCTTAATTCAATTCAGCGGTGAATCGAGTCCCGTTGAATTTATGCCGCTTTAATTGCGTGTGAAGGCTTCGCGCCGGGGTTTAACACCGTTTGACGAAAGCCTTTTCCATCCAGCGCTCTCCCTTTGCTCGGAGCCCAGCCCCGGGCAGGGGCTGGGGGATCCTGGCGGGACAGGGTGGGTGCGGAGCGGGGAGCAAAGCGCCCCAAGCTGCATTTTCTCACAGCAGGACAGGCAGCAGCAAGCGCCGGGCTCAAAGCAAGCCAAGGCAGCTAAACCTCAGAGATGCAATTACATGGGAGGGCAGAGTGGGCAGTGAGGGGCCTGTGGGTTCAAAACCCCCAACAAATGGGTGGGGAAAAGGGAAAAAAAAAAAAAAAAAATAAAAAAGCCACTAAGGCGCATCAGATGCTCCAACGCTGGAGGCTCAGGAGTTTGTGCTGCGGGTGAGCATCCCAGGGGAGCAGAGCTGGCCGTCTCCGCTCCGAGCCCCCTCCCTGCCCACCGCATGCGGGGATTTGGGGTGCGGGGGGCTCAGGCTGAGCCAGCACGAGCCTCCTGGCGCTTTTGTGGGTGCAAGTGGAGACACCTTACCCGCCTTGGGCCTGGGGGACCCTCTCAGCTCCACAATCAAGGCTGGAAGCGCCTCTCCCAGCTCCTCGCCCCCAGCCCTGCCTGGGGGCTCCAGCTGCCCCGGGACAGCCCCCCCCCCGGCCCCGGGACCCCCCCAGCCCGGCCCACGGTCCCGGTGCAGCGTGGCCGCTGCAGGCGGAGGTGCCGTCCCACGCCGGGGGAGGCTGCGGGAATTGGGGTCAGCAGGACACGAGTGACCCCAGCGGGGTTGACACGCGGCTGCCACCGTGTGTGTGTGTCCCCCCCCCGGGCTCCCCTCAGGGACAGAGCCCCACAGCCTGGCTGGGGGGGCCCCGAGACCTGCAGCAGCTCCAGCTCCAGCCATGGGCCCGAGGGGTGCTACGGCCCAGGGGACACCCCCCCTCTCCATGGCCACCCCCTGCGTGAAACGGGGCTCCCCATCGTACCTGTCACCACCAGCTCTGCTGCTCCTGCCCCCATCACCCCCATCCCCGCGGTGTCCAGGGAATGGGGAGGGAGGAAGGGCTTCCTCTGCCTTCACTTTGGGGGTGGGGGGGGGTGGCTGAACTGCCTGGGTCATTGCCTTTCAGTTAACACGCACGACGCTCAGTATTTCCAGCTAATTTGACGTAATTTTATTTAAGCACCAAAGAGTTGAGCTGGGAGCTGGTGGTGTCTGACAGCTCGGGGGCTGCAGTGGCACAGCATGGCTCTGGGCGTCGCCATCACCCCCACAGCTGGGGACACCCCATCTCACTCCCACATCCCCCCAAACAGACACCCACACCCACCCGGGGCGCAGGGGTGCCCCAGGGGCTCGGCCACAGCTGCCGGATGCGAAGGTCACCGAGCACCAGCAGTGCCCAAGGGCCTGGGAAAGCCTTTGCACCATCTTCAGCGAGCTGCCAAATGGCTCACGCTAAGCAATGCCAGGATCTTTTCTTTTTTTTTTTTTTTTTGGTCTTGTTTCTCCCTTTTGACATTATGAGCATGCCCAGCTGCATTACTGCGCCGGTTGGTGGGGACAGGCCCCAGCAAACACCAGAAGCAACTGCCAGTGCTTCCCCCCCCCCAGCACCAGCCCTCGCTGCGAGCCCCCACAGGGTTCACACCGTGCAGAAAAGCCCCATCCCCCCTTCCCGAGCTCACCCTGGCCATTGACAGCAGATATATGGACTTGGGATTTGGGGGGGGGATTTTCTTTTTTTTTTTCTTTTTTTTTTTTTTTTTTTTCCACCTGCAAAGTAAAACCCTGGCAGGACTGGCTGGGAAACGCATTTCAGAAAAGAAAAAAGAGAAAAAAAAAAGAAAAATCATTTTTAATCCCAGCAAACCAGCCTGTATCGAAACCCAAAAAGAGAATGACCAAAAAAAAAAAATCAATGTTTATAATTAGCCCCGCTACTTACACAGCGACAACAACTGACACGCTGTAAGCGGTAGCCAGAAATATTTTAGCATCCAGAAGGGCTAATAGCCTTGAAATAGCCCGATCGATGGCCCGCCGGGCCGCGCTGGCTGCAGGGAGGTGCCTGTCTGGGCGAGCAGCGGGGGGATAAATCAGGCAGCCCCTCGCAAAGCCGCGTGTCGCTGGCTGCGTGGGCACGTCGCCGGCGGTGGCAAAGCCCCGGGAGGCTGCGCCGGCCCCGGCTCAGGACAAGGGGGCCGGGGGGGACCAGCCGGGCTTCTTTCCTTCATTTATTTTTCTGCATTTGTGCTGGTAACGCTGGTGCTGCAGCCTCTGGGTCCCATTAAGGCGGCGGCGGGAGTAGCGGTGGTGAAATACCTGTTCTTGCCAGAAAGCACTTCTGCAACTGAATACGGGAATTATAAATAACGGCCCCCTCGCCGCGCCGGCACCACTCTGCGGCCCAAAGCTTTGCAGCCCGGCGCCCCGGCTGCCTTCGCCTCCAGTCACGCTGCTGGGAGAAGCCTGTGGGGGAAAAAGCTGCTACAACCCCCCCACCCCCCCCCCCCAAAAAAAAAAGCTGCCCTCAATGCCCCCGTCCCCGGGGCCCAGGGCAGCGCCGTGGAGCTCCCTGCAGCATCCCACCCTGCGGGTTTCCCATGGCGGGACTCATGAGACATGGTATTGATCTCCCTTTACTACAACAAAAAAAAAAAAACTAAACCACAAACCCTCCTCAAAAAGGGTTCGGAACAAGGACGGGGTTGGGGCAGAAACTCACCAGACAAAATAATGAATAAATTTAGTTTTTATAATCTTTGCTGCTGGCAGGGGAGGTGGCAGCCATCTCCAGGCCAGGGGCTGGGCAGCCAGGGACTCGGGCAAGACTTTGGTTTCTTCCTTGCCTGAGAAAGGCCAATGTAGGGAGAGAGGATCAGCCCGATGAGGAGAGGGCAGAACACCTTCCCCAAAGGAGCACGCAGCGTGAGGAGGAGCTCAGAGGCTCCTGGGGAAAGGGGACCTGGGCCGGGAGGGAAGAACGGAGAAGCTGCAACTGGATGAAGTGTGCGAAGGGAGATGGCACCTCCTCTGGGGAGCGTGCTGGACATCATGGGTGAAAAATCCTCGGCCGGCCGGCCTCAATCCCTAAAGGTCACCTTGGAAGCCGTCTCCCAAGGACAAGCACAATGCGAGCAGAAAAACTCAGTGGTTTGTTGTGGGGCAAAGCGTGCCCCGGGGCCGTGCCGGCGGGAGGGGTGCCGTTAGGGCGGTGTTCTGTGCCCAGCGGGACGCGGTCGGCCTCCAGGCAGGGCGGGAGAGGTGCTGCGGGGGAGCCACCTCACCCAGCGGGGAGCCGGGGGGCTCGTCCTGCCCTGCCCCGAGCCGAGGCTGGATTAGAGACCCCCAGAGAGCCCCCTCCACGCAGCGTCTCAAGGAACCCACGCTCCGGCCTCCCCGATGAGCACAGAACACCCCGAAGGGAAACGGTGCTGCCGGGGGGGGCCGAGACACGTTACGTGGGAGCAAACACAAGATCACAGACACCGCGGGTCACCGCCAGGCAAGAAGAGGGGCAGAGCAGAGCCACGGGAGCAAACGCTTCCCCTTTGTGCGGCAGAGCTGCTTAACAAGGACAGTCCCACATCCCGCAGTCCTTCCCACCCCAAATAATCCTGGAGTTGGGCTGAGAACACTCATAAGGTGCCGTGGTTGGAGGCAACGCAAGCTGAGACTCTACCTCGTTCCCTCCCAGGTACAGAGCTGTTTTTCCAGCAGTACCCCACGCAGAAGGAGGCACGTCCCCAAACCCGTATGTTTTAATAATGAAGCTGCTGGCACACTCACCCACAGGTGGGATCTCGTTTAGGCCAGCAGTTTATTCCAACGTGCATTTACACCGGTGCCATCAAAACGCGCTCTGTTGCCCTGGATTACCTGGAATCGAACGGAACCTCCAGCTACTTTCACCTTAATTCCTGAATGATGGTATTTACGGAGCCAAGGAGTTCCCTGAAATAGCCGTCTTTGTCACCTTCCCTCTGCTCCTCTGCCGCCAGCTCCTCGTACTCGCTGCGCAGGAGGCGGAGGGCGGTGCTGAGGGCCTGGTCCCCCCGGTAGCGCTCCTTGCAGAAGGCCATCAGCACGCCGACCGTCTTGAGGACCTTCTCCCGAGTGTCGTGCTCCGGCAGGGCCAGCAGGTTGGAAACCACCACGCACCAGTCCTGCTCCACCACCGCCGGGACCAACTTGACCTGCCGGTACTGCTGGATTTTCTCTTCCATTTGATCCCCGTGCGGTGAGTCCTCGAGCAGCATCTGTGGGGTGCGGTGGAACATGGATTTATATCCCAATCAGAGAGCGACTGCTCTCAGGAGGTGACACGCTGCGGGAGAGGAGGATGCACACCCCTAACACCTGCCCTGGAAGGTGACTTGCAACAGAAAACCAAGAGGAGGTCATGTCCCAATTCCCTGTCGCCCGTGTGTGAAGTTTGCCACGGGAGCTGGCTGCCCACCCTGAAAAACACTCCGTGACCGGGCGGGGGGGGGTTTCAGGATCACACAGCCCTGAAAGGGGACTCAAGGGGAAGGAAGCTCAGCAGAAGACCCGCAAAGCCTCTGTGTCTGCTGCTTGGGGCTGCTGGACAGGCTCCTTCAGCACCTAACGACATCCCCAACCACTTGGCTTCGTGCTGCTCTTTTGGAAGAGATGGAGATCTCGGTCTCCTCCAGCCACAGCCAGACCTTCCCCTCCCAGCCTGATCCGGAAAACCCCCAATACTGAAATTCTGCAGGGACGGTGCCAAGCGCAGCAAGGTGCCCGCAGGGACGGGGCGGGCAGGGCTGCCGGCTCCCTCCCCGGCAGCAGAGACCTGCCCCGAGCAGCGCCGGGGCCAGGGGAGGAAGGGAAACCCCCCCACACACCCCCCCCACACCCCCCCCCACCCCTGGGGACTTGGGTGCTGGAGCGGCTGCCAGTGGCGTGACATTCTCCAGACAGGCTCCGTTCCCCCAGCGGATCCTCCCGGCTTGGCTGCTGGCCCCCGCTGATAATTACCACGTCTGCGCTTCGCTAATTAGTTGTGTGTTAACACAGGGCTGCTCGCCTCGGCCTGCTGGAGGGAGGTGAGGGCTTCGGGGGGGGGGAGGGCTGCGGGGCAGAAATCCAGCCCTGGGGAAGGGCGAGGGCGCCCGGGAGCTGCCGCAAGAAGCGATGGGACAGCCTCGTCCCCCCCCATCTTCTCTGAGCTGTTCACTGGCTTGGCAGCGGCCTCCCGGGACACAGTGGGGACAAGGAGGGACAATGCCAAGGCGAGCTCCCCTCTCCTGGTCCCCCTGAGAGGGCTAGAACCCCCACTGGCCATGCAGGATTTGGGGTAAAAAGGAAAGAAGGCAGCGGAAAAAGCTGTTCAGAGCCCCGGCAATTCGTGCTTCCGAGTTTATGATTTTCAAACCAACCTATTTGGCCGTCACTCAGCCCACCCCAAATCTGCCACCCCGGCTCGGACCAGCCCTGCTCCCCCCATCTCCTCCACGAAGGGGCTGGGATTGATACGCAGCATTCCCAGACCAAAAAGCAGCAAAAAAATTATTGTTTCAACATAAAGCTGAGAATCTGCCAGGCCGGCGGCCTGTCCCCAGCCCAGCAGAGCTGGGAACAGACGGGGCTGCCGGGAGGGGTGGCTGTAAAATGTGCAGCACGGGCTCAAACCACGCAAGGGTCAGGCTCCCTTCCCACGCGAGCAGACCGAGGGGATCGCTGAGCGTCAGAGACAGCACCTGATAAGATTTCAGACCCACTAAAATCATTTGCACTTTTACAAAGTCTCTTGGAAAGCGACTGTTTTAAAGCACAGACGCTGCTCTGCGGTGCCTGAAACCCAAGTATTACAGCAGTAATAATCTGCAGGGCAAATTGGCTATAAACTGAGCGAAAGTGGATTTAATTTCCGTTCTCTAGAGTAAGAGAAACACACAGACTAAACAACAAGCGATGGCAAGGAAAGACGGGTTTTAAACTGACATTTACAGCAGCGATCTGAGGTATTTGAAAATAAAACACTTAAGGTTGCGGGCCTGGCTCCAGGGAGGGAGGTGCGGGGCCAGCGCGGCGGCGGCCGGTCCCCGGGCACTTGGCCGGCAGCCGGGTGCCGCAGCCAAGCTCACTGCCGTCCGGCGCCGGCTCTCCCTGCTCGGGTCCCTGCCATTTTGTTATTTAAACACCCCCGGGTGGAAACGGCAACGGTGGTTTAATGAAAAAAATAAAGATTTAGGCGCGCCCTGGGCTTTCCCAGGCACTCGTCCCCTGCAAGAGTGGCCACGGGCTGGAGGGAACTCAACCCAAGAGCAGCACCGACGCTGGATGGGCCCCTCCTCACCCCCGGCCGGCGAGGATGCTCCACGGCCGCTTCGGCTCGGCGGGGGGGTGAAGGTGGGGGGTGCCCGGCCGGGTCCCGTCCCCCCCGGCTCCTCACCTTCTCCACGATGAGGTCGTAGAGGAGCGTCACCACACGGATGTGGAGGGTCGCCATCCCCTTCTGCCTGAAGAGGCTCCTGAGCACCTGGAGGCCGCCCAGCTTGAGGAACTGCTGCTGGGCGTAGGGGAAGTGTCTCAGCATGGAGGAGAGCGCGAAGAGAGCCTGGAGGGGGAGAGAGGCCCGTCAGCGCGGCCGCCACGCTGGGCACAGCCTCTCCTCGTGGCGCCCCACGGGGACAGCAGAAACGCGCCCCCGACCCGTTTGTGGGGAGCTCCCCGGCAGACGCGCTCAGACCCCTCCTTGCTGAGGGGCACCCCCAGGAGTCCCCCTTTCTCCCGATCCCGACCCTTCCTGGGTTGGAGTTTGGGTGGAAACAACCCGAATTCGGGCAGCCTCACAGCGCCGGGAAGGGCCGGGATGGCTGTGAGGCTGCCCGAATTTGGGTGATTTCCACCCAAACTCCAACCTGGGCCCTCACTGCGTTTGCTAGGACAGCAACCCGGAGGGACAGCACCTGAATGCCACCCGATGCCACCGCTTCTCCGCACGGTTCACCCCCACCGGTCCTCGGTACGGAGCCTGGCTACGGGATAGGGATGGGGTGAAGGGGGGTCCCGCTGATCCCCTCGAGATGATTTGAACGCCCGGGGAACGTCCCCTCCCCTGCACCCGTGCACCCAGAGGACGAGATCGCGACGTTTCCCAGGACGCAGCCCCCAAAACAGCGTCTTGCCAAGGTGCAGCATCGCGCGCCGCCAGGGAAAGACACCAGCACACCCAGACTCGGCTCCTGGGCCTTGAGCGGCACGGGGCTATCACCGAGGAGGCAACGAGGGGCCAACCAGCCCAATCTTACGAATCCTCTGGTTTTGACGGCCGCGGTTTGCAGAGGGCAGGGCTGCTGCCCGGGCGGGGACAGGGACGCTGGCCTGGGAGCCACTGGCTCCTCCGCACACCGAGGTGGACTGTGCCCCCCCCCCCGGCTCTGCACAGACAGATCTGAGCTGACAGCCATGTCTTCCCCGGTCCCATTTGGTTTTATTTTCCATCTTATGAGTTGCTGCTGGTGGATTGGAGGAGGTTTCTGTCTCCTTTTTTTTTAACCATAGGTCAAAGGATGGGGGAGGGAAGAAACGCACTTTTGGCCTCGCTGCTGCACAGGGCTGTGAAAACCCGCCGGAGTGAGAGCCGTGGGCTGCTGCCCTGTGCAGGAAGGGGCCGGGGCACCGACCTGCCCTTGGGATCCTGGCCTGGAGAGAGAGACGGGAGACCATGCGCAGCACAGGAGCTGAAAATTAAAAGCTTCTGTCCTCCTGGAAGAGGGGGTTCAACCCTCGGAGGCTCTTAGGAGGCTGCATGCGAATGCGGACAATACTGAGCTCCCGCCTCTCGCTCTTCTCCAGGGGCTGCCAGGGGGATGTGTTCAGGCTCCCTGGAATTAATTGTCCCGCACTCACCACCCCACGATGCTGGCGAGGGTCTCTGCATGCCCAGCCCTCCCTCCCCACCCCACGACGAGCTCTGCATTGAGCCACGGGCACTCCTGGGGCATGAAGCATGGAGCACCCCGTGCTGCGCTTCTCCGGCCAGGAGCTTCTCACACCCGTGGCTGAAAGCAAAGGGGTTCCCCGGCCTCCCCCGTGCCTTCTGCTTGCTGGAGGACTCGAAGGGAACGTGTTTGTGGGAGCTTGTTAAGACACCGGCAGCCCAGCGCTGTTTGCATCACTAAAAGTGAACAAAAGAGCTGGTGGTCCCCTCGCCCCGCCAAACCCCCCTCTCGCAGGAGGTCACCGTGTTAAACAGTGGGGCTGGGTTTTCGGGAGCCGCCAGATAATTTCACGGCCCATAAACAGAGGCAGCCTCACACGCTACGGCGAGGGTAATGAGATCTCATGCTCCAGGGAGTGTGGCGAGGAGGGAGGCGTGGAGGAAGCCCCCGCCCCGACAGACAGCGCTGCACATTTGGCTGGGGGCTCGCGGCGCTGCTCGGCTGGCTCCAAAGCCACCGCCAAAGGCAGGGCGCGGGGCTGGCTCCAGCAATTAGCTCCTTCCAAACGTCAGCTCCTGTGTTTGTCAGCCTCCGATCGTTACGCCTGGCGCGGGGGGCCCCTCGCCTTTCTTCCTCAGCACCGAGCCCCGTCCCCCGCGGGGCTGGCAGGGCTGCCGTGAGTGCCACTGCTGGCAGCGGGCACCGGCCAGCCAGGGCTGTTCTCCAGCACCCCTGGGGAGCAAAGCCCACCCAGAGTGGGGAGCAGCACAGTGCCCCACGCTCTCATGACATCGGCGATGCCCCAAGGAGAACTTATATCAAGTTCAGCACAAAAACGGCTTTACCCCGAGCTGCGTCGCCGCTCACTCACCTTCTTCTTGACAGCCAGGGGTTGCTCCGTCGCCAGGATAACCAGGAGTTTCTGCAGCGCGCCGCCCTCGATCGCTTCTATCTGGACTTTGGGGTTGCTGCAGGGTAAAAAGCAAAAGGCGGGTCACCAGCAGAGCAGGGCACGGCGCGGCAAGGTGGGACCCCGCAGCAGGCACGGATGAGGGTCAATCCAGCCTGACCCCAGAGCAAACCCCCCCCCCCCCCCCCGGGGTTCCGGAGGAGGTGTGAAGCCCTGCAGGCTGCCCCGGACACAGCTCGTGGCCGGTGCAACCCGGAGCCACGGCCACGGGGCTGGGGAAGGGCACGCTGGGCCACTCACGTCACCCCACCACATGCCCACACCCTACCCACCTTCCCCTGGCAAGGAGCCCTCCCCTGTGTTTCCCTCCCAGCTATTAATCATCTTGCTTTGCATCACATCTGTTCCTTAATAGCCTTTTATTTCGGCTCCCGCTATCCCCCTCTCGCCTGCTCCTCGCTTGCTGTTAACAAGCTGATTTATTTAAACGCTCCTGTGCTGCGGCACTGGCCCTCCAGCTCACCTGCAGCAAGGTCCCACTTACCCCCCCGCACCTCTGAATCACAAATCACGCCTAGGTCTCACCACCCACACACGTCTCTTGCTCGAAGTGCTTTTCTCCAGGGACTACAAAGGGCTAAATGCATTCTTCCGTCTGCAAGAACCAGGCTAAAATTTCAGGTGTGGATGTGGCAGACAGCACCAGGTGCGGGCAGATGAAGAGAAGCCTGACCTGCCGGCCGCCGCCTGGGTAGGGGCACCTCAGCCGTGCTTTGCAAACCCACTGCTAGTACATCTTGCAGTGATGGAGAGGTTAGATGCTCCAGGCTCCTCCTTTGGCGGGGCTTTCACAGGTGGAGCACAACGTACTGGCTGCCTCCATCCCCGATTCCAGATCTTTCGTGCTCTGAGGAAGAGCTCCAGCACTTCAGACTTTGCTCGAGTTTGAAGCAGCAATTGCACTGCAGCCAGACAAAGGTCATGCACCCCTGTTCCAGCAGAACACCCACAGCTCTTACTGCTACCAGAAAGCTGCCGGAGCAGCCAGCGCCAAGCATCATCCAAGAAATAAGAGAGACAGAAGCAGACAGGGTCATTAAAAAAAAAAAAAAAAAAAAAACAAAAACCAAAACCAGAAGACAAATGAACTGGGGCAGGGAGCAGTTTTGAATTAAACCCATGGCTCCCAGAAATACAGCAAAACGCTAAGCTCGTCTGTGTCAATCCAACCCTCCCTGCTCCATCCAGGCTTTGCTCCTCACGCTGTTAGGAGTCAGCCGTGGTTCAGAGGCGGCAGATCTGGCGTCTGGGTTCCTGACTGCAATTACCGGGCTGACCAAAAGGCAGGAAAAGGGGCTTTGTTGAAAGCCACCTTTCATTTCTTCTCCCTCACCCGCTTGCTGCAGCAGGCACCCTGCCGAGGAGGGGGACATCTGTGACCTGCCCAGACAGGGCCTGAAGGAGAAGCAACAAACCCAGGAGCTTCAGGATCCTCCTGCAGAAGAGATTTGCACGGCGCAGTCCACAGATGCACCCACAGACCCCCACGTGCCAGCACTGCAGCAGCCCCAGCATCCCTGAGAGCAAACCAGCTTCTGGCAGTGCCTGGGGCCAGGTGGGACGTGATACATCTACAGAGATGTGTTTATCCCCCATCCTGACCAAGTGAGGTGCAGCAGAGTCTCCTCCTGCAGCAACAGGATGTTATTTTCCACCTCAACGTGGTAGAAAATGACCCCCCCCCCCTTCCTGCAGAGCAGCGATGGCATCTCTGGTGGCCTGGCCTGGGATCTGGTTTTGGAGAGTCAGGAGTCAACGGCAGGCAAACAGCACCAGCCCCAAAACCTTCAGCTGCCCCTTGCAACCCCTGGACCCAAGGCAATTTTCCCCCAGATGACAACCAGTGCTCTCACCTCCAGCCATACCTGCAGTCCCGGGGACAGCCACGGCCCCTCCAGCACGGGGACGGTGCTGCAGCCCCGCAGCATCACAGCACCCTGTCCAGCCTCAGCAACTTCTCCCAGGGCAGAGGCAGGAAGAGTACAATAGTGGGATGGAGGACAAAGCTCCCAGGGCACCCAGGGGTTGGCTGAGGACCCGTCCAACACACCCCAGAAGGTGGAAAGGTGCTAAGTGTGACCCTTTCCTCAAAAGAGCCAGAGATAAGGAACACCGGCCCTACGGCCGTGAACAAATCCCGCACCTCCTTTCGGTCCGGGGGGATGTGTGAGCCCGCCAGGTCCAGCGCTCGTGGTTAGACTCCTTTGGGAGTCCAGAGACGCAACACTGTGCTCACCCCAACAGCACAAAACCTTCTCCTGCAGAGGCGAGGCAACGTGAGCAGAGCCCCGCGCATCTCCAAAACCCACCCGGCCGCTACAGGAGACGCCGCCGTAGCCTTCCTGCTGTGACAAGCTTGGCTGCAAACCAGGCAGGAGGGGGAAGAAGAGGTTCTTTCCAGCACTGTTTTTCCAGCGATGACAGCTTTGGCCTCTGCCTTTGCCTGTGTATGGTTGGGTTGTATTTGTTTCTGCTTCGAGCTTTTCCAGGGGAAGTCACGGTGCAGAGGTTCGGCTTTGCCTGGCACGTCACCAGCCACGCTGCCAGGCACATTTTCCATGCCGGGGCTCCACAACTGGTGTAAATGAGAGGCAAAGAAACCCCAGCTGCCTTTCCAGATCCCAAGGGAGGAGCTGGCAACTCTGACGCTCAGAAAATATAAAGTCTGATCCAAAAACCCGGCCAAATTTCACATGCAAGTCACTCCAGATAAGGGAGACCAGAGTAACAAGCCCGCAGGCAGGTGCTTCTCTGAGTATAACCACTGAAAGGAGAATCTCCTATGCTGGACACCTCTTAGTGCCATTCAAGGAAAACGTTAAGTTTGGGATATACAAGCTCTTTTGTCACATCTATCTAAAATAAATAATAAAAACTCTTACAGCAAAGGACACGACTGACAAATTGGTATGCCTTTCAATGCTTGGCTGGTCACCCGGAGGATTAGATCTAATTAAAATCTCTGAACCATGGAGTTTTTGCCAAGGAGCACCTCTAGAGGTTAGGAAGCCTTCCTGGATGGTAGGTGTGCTGCTCACTTCTCAATGTTTCTGTTGTTTAATGTCTCTACTAGCAATAGTCCAGGCTTCGTGCTAACAAAAAGGCTCACTTGAAGGTTTGGAAAACTCAGCACAGATCTGTACAAATTACACTGTCAAGCCCAGGGAAGAGCAGTCTGAACAAAATAAATACAATGAGACAGACTGCGGAGCACTTACATGGGAAATTCAACCTGTGCTCATCTGATAATGCATAAGGGAAGGGTGGCACCATGAAATGTGCTGAAATGAAACTCTGAGGCTGGGACAAGAACAGAATACAGCCCGCAACGACATCCCGTGACGCTACGGTGATGGCAGAGATGTGGGTGCACACAACGGATGAGATTAACCAGCCTCAATCTTGGGCGAGGAACAGCCGCGAGGCCACAGGGACTCGACACAAGTGCCGTGCTCGGGTTCAAGCAGCTTCCCGAGAGAGACCCCCGTGTGCTAAACAGCCCCCCCCTTTGCCCTGGGAGTATCCACCCCGACTGCGGGGCGACACCGCACCCCCTCCAGACGTGGCCCTCACTGCACGTCTGAGGTCCTTGAGCCTCCCAGCCACGTTGCCCACGTCCACCTCTCTCTCATTCTGCTCCTGAAGAGCAGAAAACAAAGCTGGGTAACGGGCTCATCGTGACTGACCCAGGCAAGAAACCGCCCGGGCGCTGGGAGAGGCTGGGGCTAACGGGCCTGCTGCTGGTGGTCACGCTGGCCCAGATGTGCTGAGCAGGGGTGCAGAGCTCACGGAGACCGGCAGGAATCTCCACTGCCCCCAGGTGCCCACGCCATCATCTCCAAGCAGCTCCAGAGAAAGCTCTGTCCCTCGCAAGGTGGGCCGTGCTTGTTCTTCAGCAGAAGTTCCTGAACTTATTGAGATTATCTCAAATCATCCATCCCAGACTGTGAGAGAACCTCCAAACAGCTCTGGGCACAGGCCGCCAGACCCTCTCAGTAAGGATCCTGGGGATGCCACCTTCTTTCCCAGGGTGGAGACTATGATCTGCGCTTTCAAATTCCAACTGGGGCTGATCCTCCATCCAACTCAAGATGTCCCTGCGGCTCGCAGACCTCCTTGCTTCTCCCCACTGCTCCCAAGGACCTCCGCAGACCGGCTCACCTAGCAGCGATGGAACTGCCACCCACACCACCACAAGCACACAGCAGCACTTAAGACGTACCCTTTTGACCACAAGACAAATAACGTTCATGTTTCCCACTGCTGCCTCCTTCCGAAGCTCCTGGAGTTGTGACTTTGCCAAGCACAAATTTAACGTGCCATTTCATCAGCCCAGCATGTTTCTTTCTCGGTGGCTGGAGGAGGGTGACCATGCCCTTTGATGCAGAGGGGAAGAAACAAAAGCAGAGGAGGGAAAACCAACAGAAAACCTCCATTTGAGCTTGCCTGCTGCGGCTCACAACGGCAGAAGGAAACACTCCATTTTCTGCCAGTTTATATTTCACTGCGTTGGAGTTACAACTTCCCACAAGGGGCCAGAAATTATTACAGTCGAGGCTTGTTTGCCAGAACACCACAAGCCTCAACAGCGCGCGGAGCGGGCAGGAAAAGCAATAAAAACAAGGGCTGGTGCTCTGTGGTCAGCGCTCTCAGAGTAAAATTGAAATGAAGTCGCCGCGGTGCCCCAGGGAGCGGTGGCAGGTCCTGCCCCGGGCGGGTGGTGAAGGCAGAGATGGGACCCAGCGTCTCCCACAAGCTGCCAGCTCGGGGCGTTTGCACCCTCCTTCCTTTTTCCTTCCCTTGAAGCTCTTAAGACTTTAGGATGGGGACGACCAGCCACAGGCCCCACCAGCGTGACGGAGGCTTCCTGGAGGAGACGTGGTCCCACCAGCTGGGCTCAGAGCCCTCCGAGCAGCCTCCCCTGCCCCCTGCCCTTGGGCTGCCAGGGACCTGCCGTGGGGGCGGCTGCTGGTTCACCCCGGACTTTTTTTTGGGCAC